CATCGGGGGTCTGATGAAGGCTTTTACTCCCGGAGATGATCTCGTCCTAGCTAATTGACAAATTCCCATCCATTACTCGATAAATCAACGTCTGCTTACTTCCAAGGACGAGGATAAAAATCGTCAGGTGTTCAAATTGTCCACTAACCGTTTCTTGTAAACTGACAATTTTTTTTCCTCGGCATTGAGGTCACCAGCCCCGGGCTACGTTTTCATCCTTATCGATCTTAACCCCTGCGTGGCGTAAGGTGTACTATACCCTAAGGTCATAACGTTCACCTTATGTCTGTCGAAGTGATTGACGAGGAATGTGGCCTGTGAATGCCTTTTATTACTTGTTTACGCATCCCTCCAATCCAGACAATTATTCAAATTTCCATCCCTTAATTTCGTTCTGTTCGGAATTATGTACAATCGGGTCCAGCTTGTTTCCAAAATTCGTGATTTGGTTACTATTATTGTGTTTCCGTGACTGAATCGGTTCGTGCGTTTTGGACTATGATAAATTTCAGTCCGTTTTCTCGTACGGATTTCAGCTTCAGAAGCCGGTACTTATGTCCTTAATGGCATGATATCCAAATCCACGTGGGTAAATTATGGAATCTGCAAATTTCGAAGATCGCTGCGCGAATACCCCTTTGGGCATGAATGATTTGGACAAGTGGTTGGATACTCTCGCGTCAGATTGTGTGCCGCGTTTTACCGAATGGATGTCACGCATGGAGCACTGGCTGACCAACTTGGATCCAAACGTGCAACGGGTTGCATTGATCACCTCAGGCGGTACACTGGCTCCACTTGAGTCCCATGTTGTTAGGTATATCGACAATTTTAGGTGAGTCACGCGATCGATCAGTTTTTCGGTAGTCCTACAGAAATTCATATAGATTTGTCCATGATTGGCAGTATTTCACTGGTCGTTGTCTTACTGAATTCAAATGATACACCAATAAAATATGCATTCGTCAACGGAGGTGTGTCCAGTCAACCAGGTATTTGTACCACTTGATACATGTCGCCACTTGATGCGATGCATCGAAAAAGATGGATATCACATGATAAAATTCAAATCCGACACTTAATCTCCTCTTGAAGTCAGAAATGATTCAATATATCTCAGAATTTCGCTATCTTTAGCTATATCGCTCCACCTCAATTCTGCCGGTGAACCAAAGGATAACGTTTCAGTCCGTATGATATTTATTTCATTTATGCTTTCGTTTTCTTACATACGTATACGATGTACAATTATGTAATATGCGGAAACTGTTTATGGTATGCCAAACAGATCGAAACGTTGTTCCGTGCTTGGCATATCATCGAACAAGCGGTCATCCACTGATTTGTGGCTTGATTTTCTGATCTCCATATTAGCATCGCACATCACCATGTCATCTGACAGCCTATTTATGTTTCCCTTCCGATTGGTGCACGATAATATCAGCTGATCCTCGCAAACCAACCTATCATATTCATGGTCATGTAACCAATCGCACTGGAATACCAACCGAGCACATCTGGATTGAAACTCGTCATTGATTGGTCAGCAACGTGTGACCTTGAGCATGCCCGATTGGTAGGTTAAATCGTCGAATGGGTTTGGATGAGTGGTTGTTTGTCCTCGGCTAACGTCCAAAGTGCAGCGACCAATCATTCGTTTGCATTGTTCCGCCAGGTTCGGTTATCTGTTTTGATGGCTTGTTGCTTAGTTGTACAGTCTGTTCGTTCGGTTATCGCTTGATTTCAGCACCGGTTCTCGTGGAGCAAGTTCAGCCGAATATTTCCTGAAACATGGATACGCTGTGGTATTTTTTCACCGAATTGGATCTTTGCTGCCTTATATGCGTAAAGTCAAGAAATACTTAGACAGTACTCTATGTACGAACCTCGACGGATCAACAGGCCCGAATTATTCCTCCGGTTCAACTTATTTGGATATTTTCCGGTTAGATCATACTGGTCATAATGTCTGCCTTACGGATGCGGTCTCAGCTGATTTAGCACCAATCATTACGGAATATATGCAATTTAGTAAGTCGCACACGGATTTTCCTTTGCCCCAAATTTTTTTTGATCGATTTCCAGAATATATATATATATCTAACGTCTTTAGCAATAATAATGAGTTTGAAGAAAATTAGAAAGCATGCTCATTTAAATCATTTATTATTTTTTGTCTCTGTCTCATGCGTTTTGTATCGATTTGCAAGCCCCTAGTGACAATTTTCCTTCAGTTTAAACATCATTTGATTCACTACTAACCCTGGAAAAGGAATTTTGAAATGTACCTTATCCGAAAACGCAGTTTTCGTCTAATTCTTGAATGATCTGATTGCCGTATGCAGAATGAACTCGATACAACATGACGATAATCTATCCGGATAAAGATGTTCTGCAGATCATCCCTTGGAAAGAAAAACAGATAACCATACTGCGTTTCTCACTGTTCCGGTTTCGGGGCTTGATCAACTAATCACATTCAACCCACTGATCAGGCACAATCAATACAATTTTACAAATAGAAATATCATGATAGTTGAGAGTAAAATACGTCAAAAGTGAAACGGACAAAACTGGGCAAAATACGTATTATGGAGCTGAAGCGATGGACGGACCATCGCCTTTAGAAGATCCAGCGCTGGGCTTTGTGCATAACGGAAAGAAAACCATAACTAGACCAGTCTGAATGGAACTAAAATCCGTTTTCTACGCCTCACCGTGCATATATACGTATATATTGTGAATCAGTTCTCTGCTTTAGTACGCCATCCTCATGGAAGTACATCTGACGTGCATGGTTGTTGGTGAGTTTGTCCTTTTTTGGTGCAAACTCAATCTTTTTACCATCGCATTCCTTGATTTCTCTAAAGAAACTTGATTTGTTTCCTTGTTGATGGACATATAAATACTCCTTTGCTAACATCATTGAGAACTCGTAATTCTGAAAATGCTTTGCTTTACGCGAAGGCGGAGATTGAGGAAATCTACATGAATGTTTCACTCCTGTGATCAGATGTGCCTCGTAAAATTCTACGTGACTTTTTCAAAGGGTGTCATCCCTTTTCAGTTTTTTTCTAATGACTACTTATATCTGTGATTGATTTCTATTTTCACGTACTCCTGTTTCTTCACCAATTGTCTCGGTCTTCATTTGTCCCTTACTTCCCTGTCTCCTTCGTGAGATTTCCATATTTTTCATTACATTTGTTTTGTCTCCCACAATCATGTGAAACTTCATTCCTGAGGTCAGCTGATCAGCTTAATATCTTTCTCTTACTCCAATGCCATATTTCCTCCTCGTGTGCTGGTGCTATCACATTTTTTTCGGTTTAAAATCCTTGCCAGTGATGTATCGTTGTCCTCTCTTGTGTTGTCTGTTCCATTTTGCGTTCCAATCATATCCAAGCGTTGTCGTCTTACTTCACTTCTGCGTGATAGGGCGATTATCGATCTTCACTAATCTCACCTTACTGTAGTAGATAAGGCTGTTTGTGTATGCGCGTGTGTGCGTGGGCGTGGTTGATTTCGGTCTCAGGCTGGAAGAGAACAGGGTGTGGTTATCAGACAGGCGATGCAGTTCTACTACAGTCTCAATTGTGGTGACAGTTTGTATGTGTGTGACGTATTCCTTTGGGCGTTGATCCACGTCGCCAAATGCCTGATGAATGATACTAGCAATGTGATTGCGTCTTTATCATTTCACCAGTCACAAGACTAGCTCGGCCCGTTTTGTAATCGTGTTCTATTTGTCTGCTTTCTCGGTCAAGCTATGGTGCTCGGCGAAAACCGTAATCAGTTGATCGTTTACGTGCCTCACAAGAGCACACAGCTTTGAGTAATCCAGTGTGTAAAAAAATATACTAAGGAGAAAAATCGTGTGATTTTGTTAAGTAGCGTTCATAAAATAAATCCTCTGCTAGTGCAGCCTTATTTGGTTCGCCACTCCAAGTCCAGGTTCTAATGTTTTCGGTTCTCATGAGCGAACAGTAGGTCCTCCTGACCCATTCTATTATTCACCACACAGTAGTGTGTGACAAAATATCATTTATTTATTTCTGTTTTTAATCTAGAGCGCTGTGATCTAACAAAAGCTGTCCGGAGAGCTTACAGTGAAGTGAGAAATTGTGCAGCACTGGCACCTTTTGCACCAGTGTCCTACTGGCTGGCGCACTTTTAACAAATACCACTCAATCATCTTCATCGTGTAAGAATCCAAACGGAACTACGCTTATTGAATCACTAACATAAATAACTACCCGTAGATATGCTTTTGATCGAGAAACAATCCCACTACGTCCAGCGCACACTGTTGCATCGCAACATTTGGCTAAATATCAGCACTGAGTTCATTCGGTTGTCCAGCCTAACGTAATGACATACCAATTCCAGCTAAAGCACTCCGAAGATCCACAGAGTGCTCTCAATTCTTCACTGAAAAGGGAGCGACTTAGTCCACACCCTCAGTAGGTAACACTGAGAACAATTCACCCACCAGGACCCACGAAGCGTTTCATTCTATCCCTTGGCCTTTCATTGTGCTACATTTATTTATATACTGCCTCAGAATCGCGTCTTCTGCTGCTCCCGTTTGAGACGGTAGAAGATTATCTGGTCGGTCTGCGTGGGATTACCAAGCGCTTGGATCAGTTTCAAACCCACGACTCTGCCAACCGGAATCGTTTGTTCTGCTGCTATTTGGCCGCTGCTGTGTCTGATTTCTTTATTCCTCATGACCGTCGCCCTTTGCACAAAATTCGTTCGCAGACAGATGCCCCGAACGCTCGTCTAGTTTTAGATCTCTATCCCGTGCCAAAATTGCTTCGCAATTTGGCGTGTTCATGGGCACCTTTGGCATTCCTTTGCAGTTTTAAAGTAAGTCATTTATAGATAGATTCTGCAATCTCTTTTGCTCTCAGTACAACTCACAAGTCACTCGTAGAATATTTGATTGCTTCAAAATGAAAATTTGATCAACTTTGTTACCGAAAAAATTGCACCACGAAACTAATTGCTTCGCCGAATTTTTGCCCTCGCCACATTTTGCCCATGTTCCGTAGACGTCGTTGACGAAGGCTCAAGTGTGTGCCGCGGCAGTTCGACCAGTTCTGCTATACGGCACAGAAACTTGACCATTAGGAAAGCAGAATAGATATATACTATCGATGTTTGAACGCCGCTGTCTACGCAGCATTGCACGAATTTGGTGAGACAGCCGGACGAGCGATCTTGAGGTTAGGCGCAGTTTTAGGTAACCGTGGTCGCACACTGGAGCAAGTGGTCCATCTCCATAGATTACGTTGATTGGGACGTATTACACATGTCACCAAATAAATTCTCACGGCGAGCGATGTTCGCTGAGGCAGGTAGTGAGTGGAATAAAGCCAAGGGTGGTCAAGCTAAGACCTGGCAAGAGGATATGACAACCCTAACCGGGCGACTGGATCATATAGGTTGCGTTAGACTCCCTGGCTGGGGACCTCGGGATGATCGTAACTGATGGTCAGGGACACTGAGTGATATGGCTGAGTAAACAGTGGCGTTCGTGCATGTTCTCAGTTTCTTTGCAGCTTTCGTCCACTGGATTTCGCAATTTTCTCTTCGACTCTGCTTTCAACCTTCCTGTCTTTCTCCTGGTTTTCCTCACAATGGGCAGCCAAAAGACGGCAACCGAAACCGGCGCACAAAAGTGAACTGAAACCCTATTTTGTCTTAACATACATACATTAATTTTCATATCTACTGACTTCCAAGCGGATTTTTGTATATGACGATCCGCGCTGTTCACATTGCCGCGAGCCCTTCACTAGTTCTAACTCATTTTTTATCCTCATCAGATCGTATCTACTTGCCTGACTCACTTTGTTTGCCTGAAAGAGGATTTTAACCGAAAAGAACAGCTTCTGCTTCATATTCGTACATTAACTTCACAACTAGACGTGCTGGAGTGCTCCGGACACTACAGGCTGGAATGTTTGTAAAAACGGCAAGCATTTTTTGCTGAGCGCAGGCGAACATATCGAGGAATATCGTGTGATTCAGGCCTAGTCACATCCTATTCTGAGCCTCATATACTTTGGTACTCCCAAGGCTTTGATCGCTAGTTCTCGTAGCTGAACACTCGATCCCCGCAAACATGGGTTCAATAATTCGTAACACTAAGGTTGTAGTAAAGCATCCCGTCTACCAACCTCCCAACATCATTTCACTCTCTATATATTGTAGTGTTTGTCTAAATAGTTGTTATCAGTTCGTTGAGTGAATCTCAAATGTGTTTGCACCCTTGCGCGTAATTTTCTTTTATTCTTATTTAACCAATCTTTGCTTAGCACACACAAGTCCCCGGGGTCACATGAACTGAACAGTTGAGATGATCGATTTACCGTTTCCTCCTGAGTTTCAAGATAGCTTGTTCCTGTTTTTCATAAATGAGATTCATTACGAATAAAATACAATCCAGCCAGTAAGGTTGGTTTCCGAGTGATTTATCTTCCATGGCTAATAAAACGTCATTTTTAAAACTGGTTTCTATATCAGAGTAGATTATGTTAGTGCAGACTATGGTTTGATCGTATAATGAATTTCGTCCTGTACGGAGCATTTGAAGCGTAAACCGGAAAGCTAGGAAGCACTGGACTGCTGTGTTGGATATAGTTGGGTTTCATCGGCAGTGCGGATAGGTAATGTCCTCTGTTCCTGATTAGGTGCCCAGGTTTGTTTTGTTCCCCTGCATTAGGTCCATGAATGAACTACTAAACGGGCTAAGCGTCACACCTTGGCCATAGTAGGAATCCTCACACTCCCACTTCCTTGTACACACACATGATTTGTGGCATTACCGTGTCCCTTATGGTCGTTTGCCCATCCGATTGTGATCCGCTCATCCGAATTATCATCACATCCGGTTCAAAGACGAAACGGGTAACGAGAAACCCTGCAAATTTGAAGAATTTGCATGTGATTGTGTACCCCCCCCCCCCCCGTACTTACATGAGACGTCTTGTTTTCTGCATTGTGTTTTACTCTAGGCGTGTGCTGGGGATCTAATAAGGAGCGTGTCCAACGACATTCACTTACTCCATTTGCGTCTAGTTCCAAACCAACATTGTGTGCCTTTGGTTGTTTAGGAGGATAGGCGTTCAACATGTTATCCGTGTAATACGGTATTTTCAGTCTCAAATTTTGGAAGAAATAACGACTAACAAGTGCTTATCAAATCTGGAAACCGGTCCCAATCGGTTTTTCCAACTCTTATTATCCTATTATTCTTTTCAACACCTGTATCACCCACTAAACTATGAGGATCGCACAGGGTTAATCAGGCTGTGAAAAGAGGTGACTAGGATGTGAGTACCTATGCGACCAAGCTGAGCTACAAGAGGCGAAGCTGTAGATGTTACTGTCATGAGCATGTTATATAGGATACCTTTTTCAATCCGGGAATTACAGTGACAAAATGCAATTGCTGCTAACCAATAAATGTGTTCAAATTTTATCTCACTATTCGGGTGAAATACGCTTAATTTGTTCACGGTATCTGTGTTTCAGTGCTTAGCATCTTGTCGCGTGTCTTTAGGTAGTTACATTTGGCTTAAAAGAAGCAGTATTATTAGAGAGAATGGAATAAATGCACTCAGGCTATGAATTATGCTAACATTCAAGTCTGACTACGGTAACCGAATTATCGATCCATCTTGACGTGATTCCTTTCTTTACCCGGTTGACCGAGGTCGATTACCACCGGGTTCGTTTACTTTTGTCTGAAAACGTCACTCAGTCACCAGACCTAATGTTTCCGGCTTGAGGGCGAACAGTCAAACCCTACCCCGCCTAAACTCTCAACCTTCCTCCGGAACTCACTCAATGGAGAAATATATTCATTCCGACTGGACTAGGGTTTGGATAGAACCGGCCCAATCAGTGGCATGTGATGGCCGAAGCACTAATCACTTTGTGGGGTTATTTTTACTTTTTTTTATTACATACTTCCGTTTGATAAACAGCAGACGGGGCGAACCCCGTAGTCACTAGGACCTGCTGTTCAGTGATTAAACCGGTAATGTAATCCCCGGGACCTGGAGTGGCGAATCACATAGGTCCCCGCTAGCTCAGGCGTGGTATTGAACCGGACGACAGCAAAGCTGTCTACCACCAAAGTTGGTTGGTGGTGGCAGGGCTCGGACCATAGGGTCCAAGGCACACCGGTGACAGCGACCAAACCAATGCCCCACCACCACCCGATTGTTTGGATTCCCCTGAGGTTGAAAAGTTATAGATCTTAAAAATACGTTAGTTGTACGATGTCGTACATCTTGCACGAAACTGCATAATATAAGCGCAACACAAGTGACCATCCCTACTAAATTACTCCTCCCTTATTTTTATCAGAATTCATTTATCATCTATTCGAAGGCGCTCTCTAATTTTTCAATAGTTGCAAAAATTACCATCTGTCGCTTTTTTTGTTTGTTTCAGCTTGAAACGGACCACGAAACGTTGCTATCTGTGGCTTCCAATCGTCTGCTCAACAATCGCTCGCATCTGATCGTGGCAAACCAGTTAGACACTCGGTCCCGTGAGGTGTGGCTCATGCATCGACTGAACGCAGGACGTGAACTGACCGTGGAACATCTCACGCTCGATTCACACCAGACCCCGGAAGATTTGGAACAACTGCTTGTGACCCGGCTTGTCGCGATCCACACCACGCTCGAGCAATGACGAACCGCGTTTGGCCAATCCTGATTTTATCGATCCCTTTTAATTCCACTATTTATTTCGCCTTTTACTTGTTTATTTGTTGTTTCAATTACCCCAAATTTTGGACGCCCACCCCCATTCCGAATGGTTGTGATTTTTTTTAATACATTGTCTACCACAGTTCCACAAAATTATGGTTCGTCTTCACTGTCGGGTTGGAACAAACTTAACATGTCGGATATTTCTTCACATAAACTACTTGTTTAGGCTACCTTTGATCCGTCAAGCAGTGTAACCATATGCAACCGGGCACCGTCATCTACTTTTCATGCGCATTGCTTCACAAGGTAGCCCGTTCCTGGCACAGTTCTCCGTGAGTGAAATTGTGATTAATCACAACATTGAGTGAAATACTCAAACCGGGGAAATTATTGTAATTCGTACGCTACACTTTTTTGTTGCTTCGTCCCGGTCTCAAACGATATTTATGATTTTTAAAAATGCTTCTTTCGTATAGAGCAAAGGAGATGCGAATCCAAAGGCCGAAAAATGCGATACGGTATAGCCACGTGTATTAATAACACCACTACCATGATATGAGTCAGATCGGTTTGAGTGCACCCAATAGAGCTGAGCCCACTGTTGTTTTTATCGGTCTCCGTTTCCATAACCGTGATACAAACATGTGTACAATGTGAGTGAACTATGGAGGATTGTTTTTTTCGCGCCACATTAGCATGATACTCTGTCTGTAACCATCCATTTACACGCACATCTATATACAACCGGTCACTTTGTACCAAGTGCACATGTCTGGAATGAAAACACTTGTACTCAAGGGAACGTTTTAATTGTACCACGTGCCCAAATGTGCACGGCAAAACTGCTTATTTTGTTTATATATGTGTAATGTTGTGTGGTCAAACCTTGTGCGTGTGAAAAATTTGCTGCTCTGTATCGGACCCACTGCTCACGTCACACTTTACTTTTTACGAGGACAATAACCAACATCATCTTTCACACATGCTGGTCTAATATGTGCCGCGAGCCAAGTCTCTCACTTTCGTCATTCGCTCGTTTGACGAGATGTTATTTGTTTCATTTCGTAGTCAGGACTGAAACTACTTTGGCAATTCAATTGTTCGAGTATCAAATCCAGATGTCTGTGTCATTTCAGTTTATCTCAGTATCATTTCAAACTGTCCCGTTGACCTCATCAGAGCCACTGTTCTTACCTATGTCCGGGTGGCCACCGTTTAGCATAGATTTCTTAACCTCCTGCGCGGGGAAGACGACCCCCCTCAACCACACATGCCCCGAATTCCATGACATATCTCGACCGTTCATACGTACGCGTCTCTGTCTGTCTGTGGTACCATTATCTTGCTTTACATTCATGTCGGTTTTTACTTCATCAAAGCAACTTGAAGCACGGCGTTTCGATATAACTACCAGATCAATCGCACTTTAGCGTATAATTTAACACCCCACATTTTGAGATGACACCCATAATATGTAGGTTTTCATACCTGTCGCTGGCACGGTTGTCTTAATGGGACTATACAATTTCAGCTGTAATGATTATCAAATTCAGAATGCATACTCAGAGGAGGGCATTTTTTAAAAATATTTCAATCTTTGAATTTCGAATTACTTTGTAAAACTCCATAGCTATCATGAAATTCTATGTTGAGATCGTGAAAAGTTCAGTTTCCTCGGTGGGATTCTGTGGTGATCCAGACTTACGTGACCGCAATCCAGGTACAGCTTCGTGTCGTCCAATCGCCGTTCAGGAAGCTCGGCCAATGGTACACCGGGCGAACATGACGTCCAAGTTAGTACATATGATGCGTCGACGCAAACGGTTACGTGTTTGGCCGTTGGTCCTTCCACCAATCATATGACCTATTACCTTTATAAAACACGCCCTAATTCTATCAATAAACATGAGCACTTACTGCTAACAATTCCTCGTATACTTCATTGGTGTCCGCAGTTCGGGTTGGAGCAAATCCAGTTTTGAGCATTACAGCACGGGTTCTCGTATTCCTACATTCACTACTATTCCGATTACCGCAGATTCGGACCCACGAAATGAAATGGATGGTATATTTCGACAGCCCCCGTTGCGTTTTTTTCTATTGAAGTTGGTTGAATAGAGATATCTCCTTCCGTTTCAGATACATGGCCAAACGGTCATTTTGATTGTTGAACACTTAAAGGTGCCTCTGTTTTGATATCACAGAGATGGAATAAATCCGCAAGCGTCACACAAACTGGATATGAATCTGGTCAACAATAATGCCTATATCGATCGCGCATGGTCGATGGTTGTCTTATCGCAGCCACTTGAGAGGTAGTTCATAAACTCTATTGCAGCATCATGCGATGGATGTGAGCAATGGCTCCAGCGTTGACCGCGCATGATTCAATGATGTCAGCACATTATGGCTCAGTATGACTTTTTAGAGGTAGGGGGACAAACACACAACCAGACGCGTACGTGTACTAGCAAGGTAAATAACCAAGATTCACCATGGAAATTGGGGTGTGACCGAAGCACGTCTCATGATCGTCTCTCTCACACTTCAACAAGAGGTAGAGATATCTGTGCTACATGGTGGTCATCCAGCCATCGCTAAGAGGCTTGAACAGTACATGAGCCTGGCAGCTCTGATAAGGTCAACCGGTCAGCTTGAAATGATGCTAAGACAAGTTGAAGTGACACTCAGACATGTGGATTTGATATTCAGACGAATAACATGCAAAGGCATAGAAAATGGTTTATCGTGCCTTGTCAAATCAGAAATTTTGGAATCATCAGACAGTTTTTTATCCCCTTTTGGTAACAATCTTCAACAGTGCTGTAAATCTAACGTCAGTGTGTGATGTTTCGAACCCTGATGCATACACGGTTGTCCCATACACACATGTAATCCATTAGATATCCAGACTGGCTCCAGCAGCACTTCAGGAAAGGACCGCTATCCACCAATCAACTTAGATTGCTGTGTTTTAGACCGTGATGGAGTTGGTAATGCACGTCTCCCCAGTTGTTGTCCAGTGCCTCTAATACCCAGCAGCGTGCATGCCACTCGGTCTATTTATTTCGCAAATTGTTAATAGAACTGAACTTAACTCAGCGAAATGTCAACATACCGCAATAAATTCCACAACTTATTGTGTATAACATTTTAACGTACTTCTAACAAATTACGATCGCGTTAAATATGACATCACTCATATTCAGTGCCGATGAGTGCATGTGATTGGTCAGTCCCCACGCGCATGCTTCTGGTGTCGCGCGATTGGGATTGTTGGAGGTGAGCGCTTGAAACGATCTTAGATGTTGCACGCACTTAATACANATACAGTGTACAAAGAAGCACTATCACGAGATATAGGACTTAGAGTGCTTCACTTTTACTTTTGAAAATGACATTTTGGCGAAAGAACCACGAGATTTTAAACAGTCGTATCAAGTCTAGTCCTAGAATATTCGTCTCTAAATTTAAAGTAATCCACTCGACCTAACGTTTCCATTCAGAGTCAATATCACCATGATCCATGGGCGAGTATCGGAAGTTCGGTGCACATTAAGAGGAGTGTGATTCATCCAAATGAATGAATACTCACCACGACTAGAATAAGTTACTGCGATAATTAGTATAGTACTCGGACCTGAATAAAGCGATCCCTGTCTCGGACTGACGACTCATTGAATCGAAGGTGCAGTCAGTTTAAGCAGAAAAGAAAACAAAAATTTCGCACGTTTGCTGCCCATTCTTCGTTATCCAGACGGTTTTGTGAGATCCGTTTGTTCGTCCGATTGCAGTTACTTGGGCCCACATTGGTTAGATTCTCTGTTTCCTGAATGATTGTCTGGAAGCTGCGTTGTGGTGCGTACGTACTGTCCTTCGGTCTGGATGTATGTAGGAGTACCACAAAAGTGCCTGGTCAATTTGATTTGCTGTGCTACATTATCCCGTAAATGTTGCATCCGTTGAGGCTTCTGCTTCTACCCATGGTACTTGATCTTGTTAGAGATCCACGATTTTGGGATATCGGGAAACTCAATCTTATACAAGCTGGAGTCTTTATGGTTTTTCATTTCAGGATGGGATTTTGATGCACTAATATTTGGTTCTTATTTGACATATAGCTGATCATATGCCGTCAGTATATATACATATATATATATGTATATATATATATATATATATATATACATGCATCCGCTAAATCATTGACTGATCCATGTTTCTGGTGATGAATCCTCGGACAGGGTAAAAAGTCGTTTGTCCTGAAGGTCACGTAGCTAGAATCCAAGCCTCCTCGAAATGATTTTATCCAACACCAGTCAGGAAGACAAGCAACAATTTCAAAACGACTAATGGGATATCGGTTTTCTGGACTAATCAAAATCTATTTCGCATAAACAGGAATCACATATCCCGAAGAGCCTCGAACTACGATTCGTCAATACTGCTTGAAACAGGGGTATTCTGCTGTACATAAGATATAAACGCCTTGAATAATTCCATATACAAACCACTATTTCTAGAGCTTTCATTCTGCTTCTCTATGTCGGAAGATTCCGGCAGCTGATTATCAGTGCGATTTTGATTATGTCTGCGATGCTTGATCCTCGTATATACTGGGTATTACAGATAATCTTAAACAACGCGAGTTGGACAGATTTATTGAACTTTAATTAATGGTTTCATGCTCCTCATTTCGGTGTTGCAGTAAAAATATGTCCCGAAAGAACTTCAAGTCAGCTTTTCATTTAGGATTCGCAGATGTTATTACACTATTGGCTGTTTACACTAGATTCTCCGCTGCTTCGCTCTCAGAGCCGCCCCTGAATGTCGGCATTTAATGCCCTTGTACTCCGAGCTCTCAGCGCAGCCGAGAGAACAGAGTCACGCGACAGGATATCACTCGGTTCGTGTTCTCGCAGCTGGAGACGATACAAGGCTTTGCGAGTAGGGATGCGAGGAAAGACTGGCAGACAGGTC